CGATCGAATTTCGCCTAAGTTTGGCGAACCATTCGAGCGCGGCTCCTTCTAGGTTTTCGACGAAGAGGTGGTAGTAGCCTGCGTCTTTTTCGTGGTCCTTGAGCTTGGCTCGTCCCATGGTAATCTGGAACGCTTGTAGGTGCGCTTTGGGATCGGACATCCCGTCGTAAGTTGGCACCTTAAGTTTTCCGGGATCGGGCAGTTTGATCTCGGTGATGCGGGCCATGAAGGGCGTTTTACGTGACTCGTACAGTAGCCGATCAATCTCGGGTGCGGCGCTGGTAGCGTGGTGAATCTGAGATTTCACCGCTTTTACCGCTGCGGCCGTTTTGGTGATATATGCGCGGAGATCGCGAATCTCGGTCAGACCGCCAGCAGTTTTCCGACCTTGTCGGCGTTTGCTGCGAGTGACCGGAGATCGCTCCTCGGCGGTTTTTGCGTATCGAGCGAAGTCGAGTTCCCCTTCGTCTCCAGTAAAGGAACGTTCAGGAGAAGACTCCGGAAGAGGACTTCGAGTCTTTCTTCTCCTAGGGTAGACGTTAGCAACTTCGTCCGATGAATCGGGCGGGTCGCTTGTCTCCAAGTTAACCCTTTCGATGCCGTCGCCCTCGGTCTCCAGTTTGTGAGTAGGAGGTTTCTCCGATTCGTTCAGCGTCACGTCAGGATTATCTTTTCCGGATTCCTTTTCCGATAAGTTACCCTGCTCGGTTCTGGGACGATTCGTAGGAGTGCCAAAGTCGAGCCTCCTTCCGCGGATCTTAGTAGTTCTGCGGGGGCGAATTGCTCGGGTTTTCGCGGTTAGGGTTTCTACCCGTTTCGCGAGCGACCCAATGAGCTTTTCCTGCTCTTCCGATTTTTTTGTTAAACTCGGAAAGCATCTTCTCGAGGGTCTCGGCGTTAGCGTTTGTAGACTCGGCCGCAGACGCTCCTTGTGGTGGTGTTGTTTCAACGTTATCGCGTTCGTTGCGAGATTGGTTGTCACCGGACATTGTTTCTTCGTTGGACATGTTGCGGCTTCGGTGTAAGATAGATCCGACCCCCCCCCTCGTTCTAGCGCCAAACTGTGGGAACCGAAATCCACCTACTGTCAATAAATCGTAAAAAAGGAAACTTCGGGAAAACCCTAAGTTTCCAGAGGAACCGGCTATCTGCAGAACCGCACAACGATGATTAAGATAACAAGAAACTTAGAAACTTTAAATGAATAAACGAAAATCGAGAGCAAAGAGGTTCTTATTCCGAATCTGCGTAGAACTGGTACAAAGAGAGTAGCCGAAAACTTAAGGACGAAAAACCCTAATTGAGACGCAGCTCGCTAACAGAAAACAGAAATATTCCTAAATGCTAATTTTGGTGGTGAGAGCTCTGAAAATCGTGTCCCTTGCTTCTGCCCTAGACCTCTTATTTATATACTCCTCGCCTTGGCCATTCGGTCTTTCCATTTCGCCCAGATTTGACTATATCGGGAACTTTCCATTTTTCTCGATCCTTCCTTTTCTTCTGCGGAAATCTTCTATTTTTCTTCAAACCTTCCTTTTATCTTCAAACTTGACATTTATTTTCCTCCTGCGAGTAAACCGTCAAAACGTTATCGTATCTTCGGGTTAGATTCCGTTAAAATCGCGAGATGGGTTTTTATCGCGTTTTGGGACCTTCCGGGCCGTTCTGCAATAAATCTGTTTTCTGACTTTGTACGGGATTGTTTCCTGATCTGATGCCGTTTTTAATAAATTCCTCGAGCTAATCGCAAGGTTTTACGATTTACTCGACGTCTTTATTAAAAACGCGTTTTTTACGATTTACTCGACGTTTTTATTAAAAACGCGTTTTTTATGATTTCAATCGAGAAATCTCGAATAAATCATATAGTTTTAGGCAATGTTCGGTGTTTCGTTTAACCGTTGCCGTTTTATACGATTTCCTCGAGTTCTTTGTCGAGAAAGCGAAGTTTTACGGTTTTTATCGTAAATTTCGAACGATAGGTCGGATCGAGATTGAACAGGAGACGTTTCGGCCGTGGTTCAAAATGTGACCGTGTCAAAAGACGTACATTTCAAATCGGGAATGCGGGAGATCGAGGCTCGGGACGTCCAGGAAGTCTCTAGTTCGTCCCACGGCGAACTAAGCTGGGACGGGACTAGTTCTCCCACCGGCGAACTAAGCCGAGCTGGCTTAGTTTGCCCGTGGGCGAACTAGTCGGGACGGGACTAGTTCGCCCACCGGCGAACTAAGCCAGGCCGGCTTAGTTCGCCGGTGGGCGAACTAGTCAAGTGGGACTAGTTCGCCGGTGGGCGAACTAGTCGAGATGGACTAGTTCGCTCACCGGCAAACTAAGCCATACTGGCTTAGTTGCGACTAGTTCGCGTTTTACGGTCGTTTTGGTTTTTTGCGGTTTCATAAAACGATTCTCGAGTCTTATAAAACGATCTTCGAGTTTATAAAACGATCTTCGAGTTTTACAAAACGATCTTCGAGTTTATAAAACGTTCTTCGAGTTTTATAAAACGATCTTCGAGTTTTATAAAATGATCTTCGAGTTTTATAAAACGATCTTCGAGTTTTATAAAACGATCTTCGAGTTTTATAAAACGATCTTCAATTTTTATAAAACGATCTTCGAGTTTTATAAAACGATCTTCGAGTTTTATAAAACGATCTTCGAGTTTTATAAAACGATCTTCGAGTTTTATATAACGATTCTTCGAGTTTTATAAAACGGCTTCTCGAGTTTTATAAAACGATATTTGAGTTTTATAAAACGATATTTGAGTTTTATAAAACGATCTTTGAGTTTTATAAAACGGCTTCTCGGGTTTTATAAAACGATCTTTGAGTTTTATAAAACGGCTTCTCGAGTTTTATAAAACGATCTTTGAGTTTTATAAAACGATCTTCCAGTTTTATAAAACGATCTTCGAGTTTTATAAAACGATCTTCGAGTTTTATAAAACGATTCTTCGAGTTTTATAAAACGACTTCTCGAGTTTTATAAATTGGTCTGCGAGCTTTATAAATGACTTCGAGTTTTATAAAACGACTCCTCGGGTTTTATAGAACTATTCCTTTTGTATTTTTGCGGGGAGTTTTGGCTATTGATTCTGTCGTACCGATTTTGACCCCCAACAACCATAAAACTTTGTTTATAGCTAAGCATCACTTCAATTCATTCATTTTTTTAGAATTGTAATTCATAAATGGTTTGTACAATTTCAATCAATTCTTTAGACTAAGAAATTTACCTTTATCTTGAAGACGAAATGAACTCCTCTGCTTTGAGCTTGCTTCGTCTTCTACCCCATGATGATCACCTCAAGTTAAAGACACAGAAAAATACAAACATGGTTAATATGTTTGACAACAGTTTTCAAATCACGATTTCAAGAACTAAAACATACAAACAAAGACAAATTCAGAAGGATTCAAAACGGTTTTATCAAAGAAAGAACACCAAATTTTATCAACCCAGGAACATCAAATCCAAGTTGAAACAAACTTACAAACAAATTTATTTTCATCCATCCATCTTAATCAAATCAGAACAAGCCGAAACAAACAAGTGGACTTTACAAAATTTTATCAAAGTTGAAACAGATTCTTTACCTTCGCGGAGAGAGAGTTTCGTCACCGTCGAGGAGAGCTCCACCCCACCACCGAATCGACGGGAAGGATGAAACGCTTCGTCTCCACCGAGAGAGGGCTCTGACGCCACCAATGCACCTAAAAACAAAAAAAGAAAGGATTAAAACCACCGTTGAGTTAACAGGAAACAATCAAATACTTGATCTAATCACATGCAAAATTGAAGAAGAGAAGAAACGGTTACCTTTCCATCGCCGACGCGGAGAACCACCGCAGATATCGCCAACGCGGAACCACCGAGGGAGACGTCATCGTCAGTAGCAGAGCCACCGAAATCCCTCTAAATCACCTTCGTCTCCGCCGATTCATGAGAGGGCTCTGACGCCACCAATACACCTAACAAACAAAAAAAAGAAAGGATTAGAAGACCGTTGAGTTAAAAGGAAACAATCAGATCGATGATCTAATCACATGCAAAACGAAGAAGAGAAGAAACGGTTACCTTTCCATTGCCGACGCGGAGAACCACCGAGGGAGACGTGTCATCGTCAGTAGCAGAGCCACCGAAATCCCTCAAAATCTCGTTCGTCTCCGCCGATTCATGAGAGAGAGATAGAGAGAGAGAGAGAGAGAGAGAGAGAGAGAGATAGAGTGAGAGAGAGAGAGAGAGAGATAAATGAAAGTGAGAACGGTCTTCACGCGTAAACCGAACTCCCCCTCTCTCATCTGTTGACACGTGGAGAAAGCGTAGACGCTTCCAGCTCCTCAATAAGCATCGCGTTTTGTTTTTTTCATTTTCTATTTTCTTTTTCCATTTATTTTTCTCCCTAAGCGTCGCGTTTATATTCGCGATAATCGTGCTCTTAGTATTTTATATTATTAAAGGAAGCTTCTTGTAATAAATACGTGACCAATTTTGGTCCACTTGTTAGAAACTAATACTTTATAATACTTGTGTGGTCCAAAGAAATACAACAATCATCAAGTGTTGTTAGACAAAACCGGTTAACCGATAATTCGAAATTACATTTCAATCAAACCAGAGACTGTTCGATTGTACAGGTAACCGAACCGAAAGAAGATAATCACTCTACATTTTAATTTTAATTTTACTATTGTCGAAACCTGTCAGAGATATTATCCTTCTCATACACCGCTAATCATGTATAGATGTAAGTATACATCCCTTTTTTGGCTATAAATTAAGTCTCCCAGCAGCATAGATTTGGTAAGAAAGCAATTTATCTTTTATGTTTCCTCTTCGAGCTTCCGGATTGTCTTCTTTACAGCAGCTTTAAGGGTAAATCTCTGGTCTCTATCGAGGGTTCCATATTAAAATTAAAAATTATTATATAACAGTCGAGACTATATACGCCTTTCATATAACTCATCGACCTTACGTTTCTTCTCTATCTTTTTAGATGGGTATGTTTGTAAGAAATTTTTAAGGCGTTTGCGAGAAGACGCCGACGGAAGAGTGGTGGTTTGATGAAAACCCAACTACCGAAGGCGAGACTGTTTTAATCACCCCCGACGATCCTTTCGAAGGTTTGGTGGAGATGATTCGTATCAGGCTCGATCTTGGAGTTCTCACTCTGGTGGCATTGACATATCAGCTCCCTGATTGGATGCTCCTTCCCGAAGGACCAAGGACTCCACCAGTTACTCTGGCTACCGATAAGGACGTCGAGACAATGTTGAGCGTGAGGGAGTATATGACCAAGCCGGTGATGTACGTGACTAGTGAACCTGAGCTAGTCGCTAAATATCAGTTTCTTTGTTGCTCTCCTTTCAAAATTGGAGAGAAGAGTTTCCTAGGAGAAGGGGTAATCGAAGAACATCATCACCAAGCTATTAAAGGTTCGTCTCGACGTGTTGGATTATTTTATATCATTAAAAGAAATGTTATTCTTATCTACTAAAACTATACGTGATTTCGTGTTCCAAAAATGTTTTGCTTGCAGATCTTGTTGGCGGACAACCCATTTTTTGTAGCAAGATCATGTTGGAGATGTTTTCAACAAGCTTAAGCTCCTGATTGTTTTCCAGATTGCTCTTGAAATAGAGATGGTTTATGCACCAACTCGTGAAGAAAGGGAGGAATTTCCTCACTTAACAGTGGAAGATATGATCTCCATCCAGGAAGGTGAACCCATGACCAACGATTCCCAAAACAACAATGTCCAGAGCCAAGAAGGTATCTTTATAAAACCACCAAAAATAGACTTTTATTTCACTTCTTTTCAATATAATAGTCGTACCGGATGAACTGGATGAAGTGTAACGAATAACAACATAGTTTCGTCGTAGAAAGGAACGTGTTATGAAAGAAACATATAGTCGGTAAACTTGTATGGTAGAAAAGAAAACTGTTCGCAACTGCTATTATATTTATATAACAGAAATCATATTATGACAACATTTTTGAGAATTAATTAACTCAATCTTTTTCTTATGACTGGTAGTTTTACACGGTGAACCGATGGATGTCGAGCAACTCCACCATGCGTTTTGTAATTTCTGAGCTCCAAACACAGAACTACATGGAGTGCCGCTGGAGGTCGAGCCACTTAGGACACTCCCACCATTTCAGCCTTTATGGGAAGAGGAGAGTGAGGAGGAACATGCTTACTGGAATGGGGTTTTTGAGCCAGATCAAAACCATCAAGACAATGTCTCGCCAGTCCCCCGTCCAACGAATGGTGCATTAGGCCTTCCCATTGGTCCTAATCTGAGGGTCACAGCCCCCCCCCCCCCAACCCCAAATACGGTTCTGGTTGCTGATGAAGATGACACGTCTTACACTGGTTCGTCCGACGGTTTAAACGACGGTGAGAATAACAGTGGTTTACCTCCAGAAATACCGATCTCAGAAAACATGATCAGCATCTCCGATGCACTCGAACAAGGTTGTAGAAATCCTATTTTTTCCAAATATTTAAACGTTAGAAATAAATTCTAAAGTAGTATTATCATTTAAATAGATGTACTGGATGTTACAGGAGCGGAACCACCGCCTATAGAGAATGGGAACACAGCCACATTAAGCCAACTCCGAAATGGTGGAACTCGTACTGCTATTCCAAGCAATGGAGGACCAAGTCTCGATCTCACTCTTGGCATTGGGGTCAATAACAACCATGGCAGTGAAGCAATCATCGAAATTGAGGCTGACGGGGACAGTGGTGGGTTTGGGTCTGATCCTTTCTTTTAAAATGCTAAAAAAATAATCATGTTGGTGCTGTTTATGTAAAATAGTCTCTACGGGTGATTTTTTTTTAGTTTTTCCTAGCTCGAACGATGCAATATCTAATATGTGTGTGGTATTTTGTAATGTAAGATATTAATGTAAAATAGGTTTTCATATGTCAGAGTTTTGTACCACTAATACCCTAAACAAACAAAAACTTTGTTGGAAACAAAAATATCGAAGTGGATGATCTTTACGAAGGAATGGTGTTTAGAAATAAAGCACACTTCAAACAACATATCGCACTTTATGCTTTGCACAAAAAATTCAGGTTGAGAAACACCCTTACTTCATCCGAAGCAATCGTGATGAGATGCATAAGTGGAACATTATTGTGGCGGGTATACGTAACAAAATAAAAAATGTCGACAAGTATGAACTACGAAAAGCATCATTACACCATACCTGTTCCGTTGATGACCATGTTGGTAATATTCAAGCAACTTTATCAATCATGATTTAATACTCTACACAAACTCTTCTGAAAACTATAATTATTAACATGCAGCGGGCATAAAATTCATTTTGATACAATAACCGTTTCCAACAACTTTCTTATTATAGGATATGAACGACAAACGACACATGGTGTTATTGGAGAGGTGATGAGGTCGAGATATGTTGGAAATGGAGGGGCACCAAGGCCTAATGAAATAATGCAAGTAATACTAGGTGATCATGATGTCAAGATCTCTTACTAGAAAGCCTGGCGATCACGTGAAGTTGCACTCGTCTATAGTCAAGGATCTTCAGGTGCATCCTATAAGATGCTCCGGGATTACCTACAAAGACTTGTTGTTGCAAACCCGGGAACCATTTTGCAAATGGAAACACAATTCGAATCAAGAATTGGTCATAGATTCAAGTACATGTTTTTGGCTCTAGGCGCTTCTGTAAGGGGGTTCAAGCAAAGGTGTAATGTTATTATAATCGATGGAACACATTTACGTGGTAACTATGGTGGATGCGTATTAACTGCTTCAGCCCAAGATGGTAATTATCAGGTTTTTCCTCTAGCAATGGCTGTGGTTGATAGTGAAAATGACAAAGCATGGGAGTGGTTTTTCAAAATACTATTGCAATTCATTGCAAACAATGAAGGTCTTATAATTTTTTTGGACAGGCACTCGTCTATTTACTACGCCATATCCAAGGTGACCTATTTTTACAATATTCAATTTTGTTTAACATTTGGCTTCAAATGTTAAGTATTAATTGTCTTCATATATTGGGTTTGGCACTGATATTAGAAAATTATATCCAAAAATTTTCAGGAAATTAAGCGATAACCTCTCGTAATAATTGTGTGTAATTTTGTTTTCTTGAAGGTGTACTCAGAAGTGTTGGGGCCAAAATCGGTTACGACGTAATCAACGACCATACTTACCGCAAATGTTAAGAATAAAGATTTAAACACGAAAAAGTGTCGAGAAGAAATCTAAGGATTCTCCGAACAAAGCAACTCCTTAAAACTCGACAATCGTCATCTTGGAAATCGTTAGAAAATCGAATAGAACAGTCCGCAATTGTTTTATTGGCCAAGTTAACAAAAACGGCCGTAACATCCAAACTCTCGAGATGTTAAAACTATTCGTAAGATCGGAGTCAACGCCTACGGACACGTCTCCTTACATCCTCAAAGGTCTTGGGTAGAGAAAACAAGAAAAAACCAAAGCCGAGCACCCGTGCAGCTCGCCAACGGGCAAGCTAGGACACACATGTGACCAGCTCACCAATGGGCGACCTTGCCACACCTGTGACCATCTCACCCATGTGCGAGCTACGCTCATCAGTCCAGCTCGCCCATGGGCGAGCCAATTGTGCTCTCTGAACCGTGATCAGAACGTTCTTTGTTTCATCTCAATCCGCCTTACCGTTTAAGTTTTACGATAAAAACCGTAAAAGACGTGTTTTTAGTAAATCCTCGAGTAAACTGTATAAAACGGCAACGGTTAAAGAAAATACCGAACATTTCCAAACTATACGATTAACTCGATATTTTTTAATAAAAACCCATAAAACACACGTTTAGTGAAACCCAAGTAAATCGTATAAAACGGCAACGGTTAAACGAAACACCGATCATTGACAAACTACACGATTAATTCGAGATCTTTTATAAAAATCGTAATACACGCGTTTTTAGTGAAACCTCGAGTAAATCGTACGAAACGGCAATGGTCAAACGATACACCGAACATTGCCAAACTATACAATTAACTCGAGACGTTTACCCAAAAACATCGTCGTATTAGGAAACGATCTTGTCTAAAGTCGAAAAATGGCTAAGTCGTAAAACGGCTCGAAATATCCTAAAACGCGATAAAAGCCAACTCGCGACTTTAGACAGGATCCAGCCCAAAGATACAATGACGGTTTGCCTATTATCTGCATGAATAGATAAATGCCAAGACTGACGATAAATAGAATTTTTCCGGAGGATAATGGAAATATCAAGATAAATGGAAGATTTTTGATAAGCACGAATCAGGGCTGAAAAGGAAAGACTAAACCGCCCAAAGGAGTATATAAGCAGAAGGTCGAGGACAGAAGCAGGAGAGGTTCAGAACTCTCTTCACACACAAACTTAGGCATTTAGGCAATTTTATGTTTTTATTAGCGAGCTGCGTCTCAACTAGGGTTGCAGTCTTAGGTTACTAGAACTAGGGAACTCGCTGTCAGCTCTTGTAGCCTCGTTGTACCGCTCTTACGCAGATTCAGAATAAGAAACCTTTTTGCCCTTTAATTTTGATTTTATTTGTTCTTACTATTATTCTTGTTTTCTGATTGCTTGGCGTGTGGTTTAGCAGATATTCGCGACATCTGAGAAATTAGGGTTTTCCCTAAGTTTCTTAATTCACGGAAATCAACGGTGTGAATTTTGGTTCCCACAGGTTGGCGCTACAAGGAGGGGGAGGTACGGATCTATCTAACTCTCAAACCACATCATGCTCAGTCAATCGCGATGACAGAAGAACAACCAGCCGATGTCAACGTGAACGTTAAAACTCAAACTCCAGCCGAAAACGTCGCAATAGTTAACGCTACGGCCAACACTACGACGCTGCATGAGGCACTCTCCGCCTATCAAAAGAGGACGGATGAACAGGATAAGCTAATCGGATCTCTCGCGAAACAGGTCGAATCCTTAACCGCGAGAGCCAAAGCTATCTGCCCCCGCGGAACTACGAAAATCCGCGGAAGAAGACTTGATTTTGCAACTCCTATGGATCATCCCAGAAGCAAGCAGGGTAATCAACCGAGGGAAACCTCCGAGAAAGATAACCCTGACGCAACACTAAAAGACTCGGAAAAATCTCCTTCTCTGAACAGGAGATCGAGGACGACAGTGTCAAAAGGGTGAATCTGGAAACCAGCGACCAATCCGATCCTTCAGATGAAGACGCTAAAGTTCATCCGAGGAGGAGGAAAGATCGCAGTCCTCAGCCCGATACCTCTCTTGAACACTCTCTCACCGAGGATGAGGAGGAGCTCTATTGCATGGAGCATGCGAAAACGGTCGAGGAACTATCTCAAGTTACTCGCAGCAAACACCACTGGGTTCGGAAAATTGCTGGCGACCCAACTGAGATTCGCAATCTCCGCGATTATATTACTAAAACGGCCGCAACGGTAAAAGCAGTGAAGTCGCGAATTCACCATGCCACTAGTGCTGCGCACGAAATCGATCGACAGCTGTACGAATCTCGGAAAACGCCTTTTATGGCTCGTATCACCGAGATTAAGCTGCCCGATCCCAGAAAGCTCAAAGTGCCGACTTACGATGGGACAACCGATCCCAAAGCGCACCTACAGGCCTTCAAGATCACTATGGGTCGAGCCAAGCTCAAGGAAAGGAAAAGAACGCATGCTACAGCCGTCTCTTCGTTGAAAACCTAGAAGGAGCAGCGCTCGAGTGGTTCTCTCGACTTAAGTGAAATTCGATCAGGAGTTTCCGCCAGCTTGCCTCTGAATTCTTAAAACAGTATTCGATGTTCATAAACCGAGAGACTTCCGACGCCGACCTCTGGAGTCTATCCCAGAAGGAAGATGAACCACTCCACGACTTCATGAAAAATTTCAAACTCATCATGGCTAGGGTTAATGAAATAAGCGACAGAGCAGCCATCGACACGCTGAGAAAATTGCTCTGGTTCAAGTCGAAGTTCAGAATGTGGATAACTCTTGAAAAACCGCGAACGATCCAGGACGTGCTCCACAAAGCTACCGATTTCGTTGTCATCGAAGAGAAACTAAGATCCTGGAGGAGCAGTATAAACCGACGAATGTGTCTGCAAAGGACGCCGCATTTGAGCAAAAGCCGAAAAAGAAAAACCCTCGTAACGACAAATACGTCCATCACGAGGGACAGGATCTTCAGGGAGCGCATAACTACGCCATCAACTCTGGATCGGAGCAAGGGCGAACTACGGGAAATACTTGGACCAGGAACGCGAGTTACGACGAAAACGTTTTCTGCGACTTCCACCAGACCCACGGTCATTCTACCGTAAACTGCAAAGTTCTCGGCGCAAGGTTGGCCGCAAAAATGCTCGCGTGAGAACTCTCCGGTGTATCCTGCGTAAAGGACCTCATCCGTGATTCAGACCGTCCTCCAAAAACTGACTAGACCCCGCTGGCAGACAATTCACCTCAGGGGAACCAAACGGGCGAGAAACACTATCGAGGACAAGACGAGAAAAGGAGAAATGGTAACCGCCGTAGGGTCAACATGATCATCGGCGATTCGAAATACTACTGCGACACCATCTTATCCATCAAGTCCTATAGACGAAAATCCAAGACAGACTCAAATTGGCCGACACCGTCGGATGATATTCCAAGAGGAGTAATTGCCTTTGAGGAAGCCAAAACTTCCAGCATTGACCACCCGCATGCTGATCCTCTCGTCATTGACTTAGTCATAGGCGATTTAGAGGTCGCTCGAGTGCTCGTCGATACCG